AATAGGAGTTTTTTTTTCTTTCAAAAACATAACTATTTATAATGTTCCCTAAATAATAAAAAATAAATTATAGTAATGGAGTTAGTAAAGTTAGAATAGTAAAGTTTTTCCCCCAAAACTTTGTCTGCAAAATAAGGGTGCGTCTTATATTCTGAAAAATATGGCAGTTAATATTTGTAAATATTAGATCCTGTTTTCAGTATATAAAGACCAGAATACAGATGGTGTGAGAAGGAAAATACAAATATTTATATTAAAATGGAAACTTTTAAGTACCATGGATATTTATTGATAAACATTTCTCCTCATTGTGTTGCAGAAAAATTGTTGCAAAAGAAGCTCGGCAGCTGAGAGTAAGTGTAAACTCCTTCTTTGACCTGCTGATCTTGGTTATCAAGACACTAGAAAGATTTGGACCTCCTGTAGACTCAAAGTGAGAGTCAACATAGATAATATTGTGGTGGGTTATATTCCTGAGCTCAAACTTGTCAAATCTGAGTTAAAGTTAAATATTTCTTTGAAGATTGTGTTATAATGCATCTCATTGCCGTAGGAAGCAATTTTTGTGTGGTCAGGCCATTGTCACATTTGCCATTTCTAGGGGGGGGGGGGGGGCATGCCCCTCAGAAAAGTTTGAAAAGGTAATGCTGTGAAATTGAATCTTGAGCCATTTTAACTACAAAAACTGCGTACACGCAATGTAATGTATTGAATTAAAAGAAGCAAGTTTGATGCATAAGTACACATGCCATTAAAAACTGGTCAGGCCATGGCTTGACTGGCCTTACTGCTTCCTACAGCCATGCATGTTATTTGTACTTTTTGTTTACAATATATGGTTTTCTTATATACTTAAATTGTCACTTTATGCTAACTGCATACTCTGAGTGAACCTTCATGGTAACTAGCTGTCTTCACATGTGGCAGCTCAGCAACTGAATTTGTTTAATACGATAACAGATTAACATAGTTTAGCAAAAATATTTCCGACTGTATAAGAAATGCAGCATGATGAAGAAGGTGTTTATAGTTCAAACTCAACTTGCTCGGAAGAACAGATTACCTTTCCCTTGCCCTTAAGCCTTGATAACTTACAAGGATTGGTTTGACTTTTGGAAAATAGTTGTAAAAATAGGGCAAAATTTGTAAAGCTTGGAGATTAATAACATTTAAGGTAGATTTTCAACTTTAATAACCAAGCTATGTCGTAGATTAAAGAGCTGCGTATACTTACCGTATGATAAACATGAAATTAGCTATTTCTAAATATAGTAGGTGCAGAAGAAGTGTGTGGTAATATTCAACATATAAACTAGGATTTCCAACTAAGTCTAGAGAGATTTGTAACTGTAGTGTTTAAAAGACACTTCTACTGCTCAGTTAAAAACTACACTCACTTGTTCATTAAACTCTAAGACTGACGTTCATAAGAATAAGGTGCCTTTTATTTTAAGTTTACATCATTTACTTTTCCTGAAGATGTCAACATGCAAAATGACCAGATGTGAAGAAACAAACATTTTTGGAAGATGTGAACATGTAAAATGACCAGCTGTGATGAAACAAACATTTTTGGAAGTGATGAACATGTAAAATAACCAGCTATGATGAAACAAACATTTTTGGAAGATGTGAACATGTAAAATGACCAGCTGTGATGAAACAGACATTTCTAGAAAATATAAACATGTAAAGTGGCCAGCTGTGATAAAAAACATGATTTAGAACTATGTATTTCTTAATAAACACTGCTATGTATAGGTAGTTCTTTTGATATGAATTTAGTAAAGGATAACCTTGTTTTTCAAACATATATATATATATATAATTTAATAACCACAGGGTATATGTATTCAAACCTAATTTTGGTGCAGTATTGTAGACGTAACATGCAAAAAATACCTTAACAATTTTATTATGAACTTCAGTTATTTTCTGATGCACTGTATGTACTTATCAAATGATTACAGTGTTACCTTTTTAAGTTTTTTTTAAATAAAGTGTGAAAAGACCAAAGTACTGATTGTTATTTGTGTATGTGTTAACTAAATATGTGTATTTATCAACATTATACTACAAAGTAAAGTCTGATCTGTAACTCATTAAGCTAAATATATAAATTACAAATGCACATGTTTGTTTTAATCATTTTTTCTTTTCAATTTTGTTTTGTTTGTTTTATGAGGGGGGAGAATAAAAGCTGGCAGCAAATAGCAAGTGAAATCCTTTAAAAACTTGATTCATTGCGAGTGACGGTAGCATGGATATTTTATTAACTACTTCTTGTTTGTAAATTTGTATGCATATTACACTTAGAATTAATGACTTACAAGTAAAAACTTAAAACAGTAACTCAAGTGCTGATGTTGATGATTGAAGTTAGGAAGGTAAGAAGAGACAATTGCTCTCTGATTTACCATATTTTGTGGTAGTTTTTTCTTTAACATAGTAGTTGAAGTATAAAGTATGGATTTCAACTTTCCATATTATCATATTCAAAATACCCTTCTATGTAGCTTGTTTGAACCTGTAATGTTTTAGTATATGTTGGTCCAATAATACTCATAGAATAAATACTTTTTATCAGGTATCAATGAGGCATGTTTGAAACTAATGTGCGTGAGAATGTATATAAAAAAAAATTAAAACCATTTCTTCTGTACAATTTTTAAAGCAACATACATGGAGAAGCCAAGAGGAATTAAATATCTTCCTTTTGTCCAATTTTTATTCTCTGATGTGTCAGTGGTAAGTTTACGGGCTTATAATGCTTTAACCTGGATTTGGTGACCCGTGGTAAACAGAGTGCAAGATAGTCCAGTGTGCTGTTTTACATTAAAACAAACTGAATTAAAGTGGTCCAACTTTTAAAGAGCTTAAATCTGTTTTAGGTTTTTATTCCACTTGTTACTCATTTCCATTTATTTTATTATTCAGTACCAACCTAAGTGATACACTTATTTTTTGAGAACTTCTGTACATAAAATATTGCCCAGTTGAACTTTAAAAATTTCTGTTTTATCTAAGGCAGAAAGTATATATATTCTTTTACTAAGATCACTCTGTTGTTTGAATCAGAATATTCCATAATGGGCTAAAAATTATTTTCATTCAGATGTTATCAAAGCAAAAGCCAGTTGTAATTTTGTAAGTTTAAATCATTAAAAGGCTTTAAAAAATCGTCATTTTGGCTGTTTACGTTTTAATCTCGAAACATTTTCGAACAGTTTCACTAACATCTGTGAAACTTGTATTAGAGAGCCATTATTTTAAGAATGCCAATCCTTTTGCTGTTGTCCCCCAGTGATCAGTGGTAATTCTCTACACTTACAATGCTAAAATCCAGTGTTTGATTCCCTTTGGTGGACAGAGTATAGATAGCCCATTATGTAGCTTTGCCATAAAAAAATTGACAACAACAACTAACAACCTGTCTCTATTATTTATTCAATAACTAATTAGGAGTAATGACAAAGAGGTGTCTGTTTGTACATTTTTGTATAATAACACACAATTTTGTTGTAACAACTTGTGAGTAAAAGTAAACAATTTAATATGTCAGCCACACTATATCTGCCATATATTTGAAAAGTTAAGAAAGTAACTCTTGTATTCAGGTGGTCAGAAGACAAGATGTAATACATTATTATTTACACATAGAGAGCTTTCCCTGATGGCTCAACAAAAAGTCTGAGGGCTTATAATCAGGGATGGCAGTAAGGGGGATTTGTTGTGGCTGAAACTACCCCAAAATGTGCCTTAGCCTTCACTGTAGCCCACCACACACAATGAACAATGCTTAATGTTAAAGCTGGTTCACTTCATAAATAGTACAATATGTGTGCCCACAAGATGTTGAGAGTAGCCATTTTGGTTTATTTGTTTAGCCCACCACAGACCCCTCACCAGGAATATGCTGGTGCCACCCTTACTTATGATGGGTTTCGATACCAGCAGTGGGTAGAGCATAGATAGCCCATTGCTTAGCTTTGTGTTAAACAACAAACAAACCATTTAACGAAATAAAAAAAAGGCTTAAAATACTGGTATTCAATATCATCACATGATTTTTTTCTTTCTTATTCAATGCTTAGCTAAAAGAATGGTAATAAATATTAGTGCTAAATGTTAAATTTCATAGAGCCAATTACAGGCTAATAAGGTTTTCTTACATGTGTATATTCATAAGGATAACTTTAAATGAGATAGAGATAGGTTACTCTAAAATTACATGAAATATGTTACTCCTGAAAGAAACAACTAAGTCATGTTACAGTCATTCCAGACCTAAAGCAAACAGGACATAAATAGTTTGAGGTTAGCTCAGTGAGTGTATAGAAAAGAGTAATCCATTGGAGTGCCCCCCCCCCCCAGGTGGTTAGGGTTCTCGTGTGCGGCATTATTATATGACGGTCAATCCCACTATTCGTTGGTAAGAGAGTAGCTCAAGAGTTGGCGGTGATGACTAGCTGCTTTCCCTCTAGTCTTTTACTGCTAAATTAGGGACGGCTAGCGCAGATAGCCCTCGTGTAGCTTTGTGCGAAATTCAACCCTCCACCCCAGTGGCACAGCGGCATGTCTGTGGACTCACAACGCTAGAAATCAGGGAGAGCACAGATAACCCATTGTGTAGCTTTGTGCTTAAACTACAAACAAACAAGACTTGCATGTACAGGCTTTTAGTGCCCTACCTACATTAATCTTTAAATTGTAGCTACAGTTGAGAATTTTTGATCTAACAATGAAAAAGGTATGAACACCAGATACTACAATATATTGACAACTCGTACATCTCCCTTCCGAAAACAAAGCTTGGGATTTAGTAAGATCAAACTCAGTGTAAGAAAATTAAATAATCTATAGCTGTTTTCTTTAATGATTAATAACGTTATGATTATATCTGGCACATCATTATCTCCAGGAATATGTGAAAATATTCATATACTGTACGTTTTCCGAGTTGGTGAGCAAAATGAGATTATTGGCTTCTTAAAACGAATATTTTTGGACGCTAAAACGGAAAATACAGAATAAATAGATGAGATACGGATTTATGACAGAATTTAAATTCGTCAACTGTGGTGTTTTAGAATATTATTTTGTGACAAATTGAAACTGGTTCTTTCTTTCTCTTAACACTAATATTTGTTGATTATACGTTACACGTTTGAGCCATAGGTGTCGTTGTTTGGCCGAATGTTTTGAGTATTGAAACCATTAATTAAAGGTGAAATTATCTCCAGTCAGATCAAATTTTATAGAAATAAAATGATTACTTTAAACAAACAAGCCTGTAAATAAAAAAAACATTCAAAGATTTTTAGAATTAATGATAATTTTAAGTAAATTAGAGCAAATGCTAAATAAGTTCTACAATTTATTGAGTGATGGAATAAAAGTATAGGATATATCTTCTTATTGAGTAACTGTCGTAGTGATGGAATAAAACTATAGGATAT